ATGGACCAACAAGAGGGGTCCAATCCCTCGCAGCTGGACACGATTGCGTTCAGGGTTCCTCGTGAATCTGCAGGGGAGTAGCTTAGTATATGTTTGCGGCCAAAATTTGAGATGGAAAGGTCGGTGCGGTTGTACGTAGCTAGTCTGGCTCAGGGTTTAGGGTTTGGTGTTTCAGTGATCTAGGCTCAGGGAAACTCATTGGCACTGCGGAGGATTCCAGAATCTGCTGAAGAATTGGAACCCCGGGTACATGAATACCGAAGGCATCCGAAACTTGGCACCAGTGCAGACCTGTGTCAGCTGAGATTGAAGAAGCTTGGTCAAGGACTCGCCACTTACCAAGACCCTTTGGACTGCACACAGGGAGTCTGGTGGACTTGGGGAAGGACATTGAAAGCAGACGCCCGGAATGTCATCAGCATGTGGGTCCCCCGAAAGGAGGCCAAGAAGCAGCACACACACAGACTCCTGGTTGCATTGTTCCATGATGTGAAGACGACGTTCAGGTTCGAAGCTTCACGGTTGACTCAACATCCGTCCAAATTCAAAGACGTTGAAGAAACGCACCTGCGAACACTGGCTTCCTTAAATGGCCAGCAGTACAGCGCTTGCCGGAGAGGCACAGGCTACAATCAATGCTAAAGATAGGATCAAACGTGCCATTTATTCAGCAGGCCTACAGCGCGCACTGATCCTGCGCAGGCACCAAATTCAAACACCAAAGAAGGCCTTCGCCTAAGACGCGACTTGTGTACAGTCTATGGGGGAGGTGTCAAGCGTGGGATGTTTGTAGACCCCTAAACTAGTCAAGTGGGCATGGGTCAAAGCCCATATCCCCAGTGAACATCCCAATCCCCACTAACATGGTTAGTTCACCTACCCCAAAGTGGTATCGGTTTTGACCCCAGCCAAGTGTATTTCCCATCCTTCAGGCAGCTCCGGTACTTTCGCCCCATGCCCCTTCCGTCCGCTTCCCACTCGCTCCTCTCGATGTCGTTCTTGAGGCGTGTTACCTCCTGGCAAAAAGGCAGGGGACATTTCACAAGGCGATTTTGCAGGCTGCCAAACTCCAAAACACCTTAATGGATGTCTTTTTTAGGGGACCCCCTGACAAAAAAGAAAAACATACATGGTATATCGTGGTTTTCCTCTCGGTTTCCTCCGCTTTCTTGAACCAAGTTGCCGGCAAAAAAAATCGCGCCTCCGAAAGGTTGAGAGTTCTCTCAAACTCGCGGGGGCGCTTGCCAGGGCGGGCAACCAGGTGTCTCGTTGGGTGCCAAACAGGGCCCCCCTGTTCTGAGAACAACCCATGTGTGTTTGTGCGTTTGTTTCTTTGTTTGTGTGTGTGTCTTAAAACGGGAAACTCCAGAAACCCCTTGATGGTCAGTTTCTCCGTTAATTGCCCTCCGCCATCCAGAGAAGGTCCCCCAAGCTGAATTGCAGCGGTCCTTCCCAGGTCTTGGGACGTCGCTTCATGAATAGGAAGCTTGAGGGGCAGATTCCTGGCTTCTATTGATTCCCTTCTTCCCGAAACGAGGGCCACCGAATGTGGGTTTGTGTGAGGGGCTTTTCAGGTTCCAAAAAGGCCACCCTTGCCAATCCCCACCTTTACTCACTTCCTGAGCCAGAAAAGGTCCAGGAACTTTGGTGGTGTACCACTTAGATGGGCCCCCAAAAAAACACACACAAACAACTTTGGTGTTTACCACGAAGACGGTCTTCCCAACAAGGTATCGACTCCATGCACTCGAGCGACGCCCCGAGCCCTCGGAGCCCTCGCCGCGCCTGGCGCCGGTCACGGAGATCTTGCTCCGCGCTCGCCTGGGCCTCGGGGTACGATGCGACGCGTTCCGATGGGCCAAAGGACCCTCAAGCCGTCCTCGCCTTCCAAAGAACTGCCTGATGTCCCAAGGCCTCAAAAAACAAGTTTTGGAAAACACAAAAAAAGAGACTCTTGGCTTCTTTTTGTGGAAGGGGGATAGCAGGGGGAAGTTTGGATCCCAATTGGTTTGCCATGGTTTTGCTGGACTTTGAATGGGTGTCAAACTGGGGCAACCCACGAAATGGCAACATAGGCCCTTTGGTTTTCGTTTAACCAAAAAAACACAAAAAACAAAAGCAAAAACCACTCCAACAAAATCGCGGCAAAATTGAGAACCGCTCATCCTGAATCTGCGCGCCGAAGTACGTAAGCCAGTCAACTGGGATCCCTTTCTAGCGCTTTGATGAACTTCAGAGAATCTGTGCTTGTTCAGCCGTGCCGAGCAAATAAATTCCGAATGTCTAACAGAGAAACCGCGTTTTACCCACCCCAGAATAAGGTTTCCCAGAATCAGGGTTCCCAGAACAAGGGTTCCGAGAATAAGGGCTCCCAGAATGAGGCTGTTCCAAGCCAACCCAGCCGTCAGCTCGCTTCCCATCCCAGGCCCCACATGTTTGCCCCGCGAAGAAGTGTCCTATGAATCCGCCAGGTTGATTAAAATATTGGATTGACATTAACATGAACAAAAAAAACTCTGAGAAACCGTTCGGACCGTTCTGGACCCTCTACGACTGGCACCCATATGGCTGTGGGTCAACAATAGAGTAACCCCAAAAAGGGTTCCCTGATAAATGGACACATGGACGACTTAGCCTGATGTCCATGTCCTAGTGGTTTCATTTTGACCCAGACCCACATGGCCATGGGTCAAAATCCAAATCGTACCCCCAGTGAACATCCCAATCCCCACTAAAATAGGGTCTAAAATGGGTGGTGCACCGAAAACCCGCAAAATGGTAAGACTTAGTTTTGACCCAGACCCATAGCCCAAGATCGCCCTGGCCACCGCCCCCCCCCCCCCCCCCCCCCCCCAAGCCTTGGCCGCGGCGATTTGGGAGGCCGAGGCCTCCTGGGCACGCCTGGCCTGGCCCAAAACATCCCGTGGCTCGCTTCGTTCGGTTCGACGCCCAGGGCGCCAACAGCTCGAAGCAACGTGGCCTGGGGTTCAGTTACCATGAAAAAGATGGCTGGGTTCACATAGCCACCAGTCTTTTCGACCTCATTTTGTCATCCAAATTTTGGGTCAAGCTTGCTTTTCAGGAAAGTGGAACCCTCCATACTTCCCCATTTTCCCACTCGCTTGGATCCTTTGGGCTTCCCCGTTGCTCTCAGCTGCCGGATTTCCAGAGCAAGCAACGGGCTTCAGCTTCAAGAAGGATGGTTTCGGGTATAATCCTCGCCACATGCTCCGATTCACATGGGTATGGGTCATCTTGCTTTCACAACCAGACTGCAGGTTGTAGTCCTTGGTTCCATTTGCCAGGGTTCCATTTGAGGTGCATATGCTTGAGCCACCGCCACATGAGAAAACTCGCGATCAACCAGCAAGCCTCTTTTTCGCCGCCCATATTGGTCCACGAAGCGGCCAGAGCTCGAGAACTTGTAATAGTTGATGCAAACAGTAGGACCCGGCGTTGAATGGAGACGCATGGAGACTAAACCAAACACCAAAGGGATAGGAGGCTCTGAAAAAGGCACCCCCTGTACAAACAATTGTTCCTTGAATTTAGGACATCCCCTCGATGTCAAGTCATGGGTTCAAACATTTTAGGTCAGTTTCGCTCTTATCCGCCAGCCCCTCCCAATTTGTTTGATAAAACACAAACGCGCAAACACTTGAACGGCCAACAGCTGCATAGTTCTGCCCATAGGCCTCCCAACCATCCCGTAGCCATCCCACCATGCCACTTCCCACACCCAAAGAATTGGCTGATGGCCCCGGCCTGATCCTGCGCCGATGCCTTGTCTGCCTGGCGATGTGGTCTCACTTTTTCATGGTTGGAAACCTTTCGGCCTTTTGAAGCAAACACAACAGACAAACCAAACAAGCACAAACCAAAGCACGCAGGCACGTGTTCGCACGCACGCATATGCGGAAGCACGCACGAGCACGCGCACGCCAATCAAAAGGCTAGAAACACAAGCAAACGGGTACAAACAAACAAGTTCAGATAGAAAACAGAAAGGGACGCTGTGAGTGTTGCTTTTTTTTTGCATAGACCTGTTTTTGCCATGTTGAAAGCAAACTCGTGAAAAACACAATTTGATAAATCGGAGAAACAAACAACGCAAAAACAAAAAGAGATAAACCGGCAAAAAACAAACAACCCACAAACAACAGGACTCTGGAACAATGCCCTGAAGGTCACACAAGCAAACCAAAGAAAGACCTTGAGGAACCGGAAACAACAATAAAACAAACAAACATTCGCGAACAATGTGCTGGAACCACAATGCCCTCACAAACCCCAAAACACGTCGAAAATTCGAGAAACACAAATGCTAGGAGAATGTTGGGTCCCAGGTCACCCAGAACATGGTTTTGTTTTTCGATTTATCGAGGGAATCTTTCGGTTTTGCTTGTGATGGCATTGTGGTTCCAGAATACTGTTCCCGAATATATGATCAAGGGTTCGCAAGTCCCCCCCCCCTCCCCCCCTATGGTTCTCAGTCCCCCCCCCCTGTGGTGTGGTTGGGGTTTGGGAACCAGTCATCCTCAAAGCGGGATCGAACCAGCTCTAGGGAGCACGTGATCTAGGGCTCCGCCAAGCTGGGTGTGGTTTAGGGTTGGTTAATGGTCACCCCTCGCTCCCCCCCCCCCTGTGGTGGGGTTGTAGTGGTTTAGACTTGGTTTAGGGTTAATCTAGTTGTAGTGGTTTAGGGTGGTTTAGGGTTGGTTTAGAGTGTGTTCAGTGTTGGTTTAGAATATGTGTTTAGGGTTGGTTTAAAGTTGGTTTATGGTTGGTTTACAGTGTATTTTGTGTTGGTTTAGGATGTGTGAGTTTTTATCCTTGGTGCAGGGGTGGTTTAGGTTAGTTCCGGAGTGGTTTATGAAGACATGGCTTGGAGACCCTTTTCTCTTGGTCCGCTGAATGATCTCCGGGGGCACGCACAAACCTTTACATGTCTGCACCCCCTGTGCATCGAAGGCCCAACTGGCCTGAGGGGCATCTCACCCCTAAAAGAACAAGGCCTTGTGACCTTTGTTGTCACTGGCCTCGAATCCCATTCGGGTCAAATGGCCTCTCATGACGCCACCCGACAGGACCTTCGTCACCACGTCCGCATCGTTCACCGCTCCAGGCGTCTTCTCCACCCTGAGCGCCTTCTCCGCCACCCGGTCCTGCAGCCACAAGTACCGGGCTTGCACATGCCGCGTCTTCCCGACGCCTCTCCGCTCCGTCATGGCTTTCGCCGCGGAGCTATCCACCAGCATCTTCACCACCGGCACCTTCTCACCCATGTAGAAGGCCATCACGTTCCTCACGAACTCGGCCAAAGTGGCCGTCCGACACATTCCATAGTACTCGCTCTCGCAGCTGCTCAGCGCAACGATCTTCTGGGTCACACCGCGCACCATGAGGGTGTGGCCACCGTTCTTGATCACCGCCCCCGTCACCGACTTCCGTGTCAACGGATCACCAGCCCAATCACTGTCCGACCAAGCTCGGACCTCCATTTCTCTCATAGGCTGCTGCTTGAAGATCTTCTTGAGGTAGGGGACCTTCACCAAGTACCTCGCCACGCGCTTCAGCCGCTGCATGTCACCTTGCTTCGGCGACCTCATTGCCGAACTCAGCACCTTTACCGCATGCCCCAAATCAGGGCGGTCCTGGCTCAGATAAGCCAGGCGCATCACCATGCTCCTATAGTCCACCGCCTGCTCGGCATCCAGCTCTGGCAGGCGCTCCTCAGCAACTCTCTCGACGTCCCGCATCTTCTCCTCCGGGATGTCCACGCCCTTGGTCTTCTCATTGAACCCGAAGTAGCGCATCACTATCTCCGCGTGCCTTGCATCCGCCTCCAACTCCAATTTCCACCTCGCCGCATCATCCAGCTTGACATTGAAGCGGATCTTCCTGTTCAAGAAGAACATCTCCTTGTCATCTTCCGCGCCGCGGCCAAGCATGGCCTCCAGCCTTGCCGTGTAGCGCGTGTTCAGCACGCCGTCCAACCACTGCAAGTTGGCCCCGTTGCCCTTCACCAAGAAGTCGTCCCCGTGGACCAGGCCAATCAACCTTCTCTCCGCTATCTTGAAGATTGCGGGGCACAGTGCACAAAACTCTGCACCATGCTCCTTCAACCAGCCGATGTAGTCGCCCTGGAACACCTTGCTGGCATCTTGCGTCCCATACATGGACCTGCGAAGTAGTCCCACCATAGGCTCCGGACTCTCTTCACCATCATCTCCGCACTGGTCCTCCTCCGGCAACTCCACGTACAGTTCTCTTTCCGCACGTCCCATGAAGTGTGCTCGGCTGATGTCCCAGCAAGCCACCTTGGCGTCCGGCTCTTCTGGGTTCTCCGTCATGAACAGGCTCAGGAGCAGGTTCACCGCCTCCAGCGGCGGGGTCGCCGCGAACGTTTCCTCCGCCCGAAGTCGATCTTCAGGCCTTTTTGCCTTTCGCACTTCTTTCGCCACCAATCTGCTCCTTACCTTCACCTGGGTCGCGTCTCCCTTGTTAATATCCAGCCACTTCAACTGCAAGGGCTTCATGCCCTTCCCTTCGCAGATCCTCCTTGGGACCTTCACGTAGACGCCCTCCTTGTGGAGCCAGCCCAGCTCCTCCTTTCGCGCCGCCTTCACCAGGTGCGCCGGCAACTCCGTACCGGTCACATCATCCACAAACTGGCCGAACTCCTCCTTGTAGAGCTCTTCCTGCTCGACGTACTCATCCGGTGTCGGGCCTGACAACTGCTCCTCCACCGCACTGATCTCTCCCCTCTCTCGTAGCTCTTTCCTCAGGCCACGTAGAATTGCCTCCACCAGCTCCTTGGGGTAGACCTGCGCAGCCTTAGCTCGTCCACCTCCCACCAGATGAACATGCCGATGCACTTCTCGACCTTGTAGGACATTCTCACACACGCCCTCCAGCTCTTCTGCGATCCTCCTCGAGTTCGTCAGCCACAAAGTCTCCTTTCTCACATGCAGGATTTCCCCTTCTCGGTCCTCCATCTTCATGCCCCAACGGCACATCGGACTCTGAACCAAGTACGTGTCGTCTCGATTCACCTCCTCTTCCACTTCCGGCATCTTCCATGACGTGGACGGTTTCGGGTGCTCATGGAGATAAAAGGCACCCTGCTCCCGCTGTTGTTTGCAGCACTTCATCGCGGTTCTCATCCTCGCCTTTCCAAGCTCCTCCTCCTCTTGCACCACGCCCGGGTCCCTCTTGCCATTGGACACGTTCCTCAGTGGGCTAAACGTAGTGCACGGCGGTGAGCTCGTCAGGAGCCACGGCTCCTCCACCTGAATCATCTTCAGCACCTCCTTCTGATCTTCTGGCCTGTCGAGGTTCCACCTCTCTGACCCATCTGGCTTCATCTCCTCTAGGTCCACCGCCGCTCCGTCACGCATGCCGAACCGCTTCAGCTCCTTTGTCACACGCTGAGGTGAAAACACCTCCAGCACATCCAATGCACCTAGGCTAGCCACTATGCTCGCAGCCTCCTTGCTCCCGGCCTCTGCCAGGATCTCCTCTGCCTCCATCCTTCTCGAGCCTGCCTGGCCGCTCGCATCCTCTTCCATATCTCGCAAGACATCTTCGATGTCCCTTGCTCCTTGCTCTCCTCCTTTCCGCTTTGGCGATGCTTCCCCGGCATCGGGGCCCCGGCTTGAACTTGACGGCTCAGCCTCAGCCCTTGCCTCATCGTTCGCTTCTTCTTCCGCTACTCTCTTCTTCGCCCTTCTCGCAATTTCTCTCTCGTCCTCATCTTTCTGCTTCTTCATCTTCTCCTCATCCTTCTTTACATCCTCTGCAATTCTCCTCTTCATCCTCACTCTGCACTCCTCTGAGTGGCTCGCCTGAACCAGCGCACCACCCGTGTTGATTGTATGACACCCTTGGCATCCTGGAGTGCTCCCATACTTCTGCATCATTGTTCTCCTCACCGGCCACGCCCGGCCCTTTGCCGAGTGACCTTCTGCCTCTGGGGCCTCTCCCCCCTGATGCTCCTCTGGGCGCTCAACCGGGACCTCTCCTCCAGGTCCGGGAGCTGGGGCCACGAGGACCACCGGGGGCAGCCTCTGATCCTCACCTTCTTTCTGCTGTTGCTGCTGCCGCTCCTCCGGCTGCGGGTTGACATACTTCTTGATGTCCCAGGGCACACCACGTAATCCAGGCTCCAGCCTTGACCACCTCTGATCCTCAGGCACCGTGTGGAAGCCCGTGCCAACCACCACTCCGGCATCCGTCATGGCCAAGATCGACCCAAACCTGTTGTGGGTGCTCAGGTACCTCCCGCTAACCATCCTTGCCCAATCTCCTCTCTTTCCGCCTCCAGCAGGTTTGACCATGATCTTTTCCCCGAACTCCGGCATGGCCTTCACCCATCTTTTGCCTGTCCGTCTCTCCTCTGGCGTCCTCCCATCTGCTCCGACCTTGCACCTGCCATGCTGCTCTGCAGAGTACCTCGGGACCCAATAAGTGATAGGATGCCCTTCAGGAACTCCACCTTCCAACTTCTTGTTCAAGGCCAGGAGATTGGCTTTGCACCTCCATTTGATCTCCTTGACAGCCGCCTCCGCTTCTCCATTTGACCGTGAATCTCCGGCCGGCGACTCCTCTGGCACCGCCTTCTTCAATCCTCTCGCCTTCTTCGCTGCCTCCATCTTCATCTTCACCAAGCTCCTTTCACCATCGCTTTTGAGGACCACCTCCTTGTAGCCCAAGCTTTCCAGGAACCTGGTCAACATCTTCTGGGCCGTCGCATCCACGAGCCCTTTTCTTTCCATGGAGGTTGCCGTCATCAGCCCGGTCTTCCGGTCCCGAGCTACAATGTTCGGCTTCGCACCTTCGGCCTCGCCCATGTAGAAGTAGTCGAGGCTCACCGTGGACATGTCGGGATTCTCATCACCATGGTCCACCTTCACGTGCTTCTGGACAAGGCCTGCTGCTTTGACGCACATCTCGCACCAGCTCCTGTAGACCGCATGGCCGCTCGCCTTGTGCTCCTTTCTCTCACGCTCGCTTGGCTGCGGCGGCACCCAGCCCGGGTGAGCAGGTCTGGCCTCCACCAACTCCTCAGGACCTTCTTGCTGAGCTCCGATCTCATCCTCCAGAGCCCATGCCGTGTTGCGCTCCTCGTCAATTCTCGCTGCCTTGGCTTTGGGCTTGCTCTTCATCAATCCGCTCGCCGAGGCCTGTATCTCCAGTTCTGCCACCTGCTCATCCGCGCTCTCTGGGTCTGGCATCTCCAGGTAGAAGTTGTAGATGCCGTTCTCCTCCACCACCGGGATCATGCCCTTGTCACCGTACAGCTCCAGCGCCTTCTCGTAGGCCTCTTCCAGCGTCTTATAGACAGGATGCTCCACCGGCATGATAGTTCCTCCGCCTTTCCACAGCCAAGTGCTGTGCCCTTTTCCATGCAACCTGCCCGCGCTGATCAGGACCTTGTGCACGTCCGTCGCATTCCCATTCACCATGCGATTCACGCCGTTCATGTCATAGCCGCCAATCTTCACCGGGCCGTAGTTGTTGATCAGCTCACCCGAGGCGGTCTTCCTTTTCCACCTCCAGTTCCTTCGCGCTTGTACCTCTTCGGGATAGCTGTCACCGAAGCGCCAGTGTCGAAGTTGCACTTCAGCAAGTTGATCTCGCCACCAAGCTCTCGTCGTTTGATAGCCACCCTTTTCGCAAACGAGGTCGTTGTAGACACCCTCGCCGTTGACGACAGCGCGCAAAGGTCCAGCCCGTTCGCTTCGCCTTCCGGCTCATCTCCCGGCTGCTCCAACGATGCCGCTTCCCGCTTGCCGCCTTTGCCACCTTTCGGACTTGTAGGCGCCGACGATGATGAAGCTCCACCGCCCTTCGCCCAGCAATCCTTCTTCATGTGGCCCTTCTTCCCGCAGTTGTTGCAGATGCCATCAAACTTGCCCTTGCCGGCGCTCTGGCTGTTGCTTCGGGACTTCGCGCCTCCTCCTTTTGATCCCTGCTGCGGCTTCGACCAGCAGTCCTTCTTCTTATGGCCTTTCTTGCCACAGTTGTCGCAGTTGCCCTCGAACTTGGCCTTGCCTCCTTTTCCACCTCCTTTCTTGCCCTTCACGAGTGAGGCCAAATTGCCATTGACCGCCCGGACCAGGGAGTCCACATCCATGGGAGCCACGTCACCTGCTGAGGACTTGCTGAAGTCCTTCGAGATTGTCAGCTTGCTCCCCGTCTTCGCCTCCATATAGGTCACCACTTCCTGCTCCATCTCCTCAAAGGTCCGGAACCTCGTGTAGTTCAGCATGAGGTGCTGCTCCATCTCCTTTGGAACCAATTTCTCCAAAGCGTTCATCGCCAGGCTGTCTTGCAACACCTCACGCTTCCCGAACTGATCCTTCTTGCGGTCGTATCTGTTTCTCAATGCCTTCCAACGTTCTAAGGCATTGCCGAGGTTCTCGTATGAAGATCTTTCTGGGCTCGTCAATGCTTGAAGCATTATGCGCTTGCGCCCTCCGGTGCTCGGGTCGAACTTCCTGTGCAGGGCCCTCCAAGCTTCCAATCCAGCACCCTTCGGCGCGTTCTCCACCAGGTCGAAGACCGCCCCCTCCGTGGTCGCCCTGAGGATGGTGTAGACCTGTTGGTTCATCTCATCAACCTCATCCCATTGATCCAGAAGATCTGCTCCTGCCCCGAACTGGTTGTCGATGTCCATCTGCGCGATGGGGTTCTCCTGCTCAGCAGCCCATTCCAGCACCTCACGGGATTTGCCGCCGATCACGCCTGCCACGTAGTCCTCCAGCTTCAAGGCCCAGACCCGGAATCGATCTTCGGCTCCTTCTCCGAGCACCTGAGGCTTTCCAAGGCCCTTCTGATCTATCAGGCCTCCACCTCCTCTTTTGCTCATCTTCTCCAGGACTTCCGGCAACCGGCTCAATGCTTGCAGCACTTCCGCCGAGCCCCCTGATCCTCCGCCGGCTCCAGCCGTCTGCTGCTCTGCCGCTTGCACCCGATCACGGAGTCCCGCATTCTCCTGAGCCAACTGCGCCATCTGCTGCTGCATCTGCTGCACCACCGCCGTGAGCTCCTGTATCGTCGCCATCGCCCTCTTCAAGGATCAAGCCGACCAACACAAAGAAGCCCCCTTCGTAGGTGAAGATGCCCACCAGCAAGGCCAGGACCCACCTCCAGTGGTTCCACCGCCAAACGGGCTTGCCTCGCTGCCGCAGCTCCTCAAACCTCTGCAGCTGCCGAGCGTCCTCCGACCTCGACTCGGCCGCTCCCCTCTGTGGCCCAGCTGGCCGCTCTCGGGGAACCCCGATCCTCCTCCTGTAGGGCTTGTCCTTGGCCGCGGACTTGCCCCTGGTCGTGCCCGAGAGCTCCGCTACCATGAAGACATGGCTTGGAGACCCTTTTCTCTTGGTCCGCTGAATGATCTCCGGGGGCACGCACAAACCTTTACATGTCTGCAGTTTAGAGTGTGTTTAGTGTTGGTTTAAGATATGTGCTTAGGGGTTGGTTTGATCTAAGGTTGGTTTACGGTTGGTTCACGGTTGGTTTAGGGTTGATTAAGTTGGTTCAGGCTTCGTTTAGAGTGTGTTCAAAAGATGTAAGTCACAATCAAAACTCGGTAGTAAAATGGTCTACCCAGAACCATGTAAAGACTTAAGAAGGCGGCCGCAACTATTTCTGGCTGGGACTGGCCCTTACCAACCTTCATCTACCCGGGTTTTGATTGTGGCTCATGATGGTTTCGAGCCAGTTAGGGATGGTTTAGGGTTAGTTTGGGCGCAGGGCGTGCCGAGGTGTGCATTCACGGGGTGAAGGGGCCGTCTGGGGACTACAGCAGCAGAGCTTCTTCTGGGGTTCGGGTTCGGGGGCGCGTGGGGGGGGGGATACCATTGGGGGGGGGGGGACTGGGAACCCGGAGCCCGGGACCATATATGAGCTATCTTAAACAAATGTATTATTGCATATTTTTCAGCATATCTCTATAGCATTGAGACATCGCAAGTAAACTTGCAGACTAGTTCTGTAGGTTCCTAGCACATGCCTAATGTATATAGTACATGCCTGCTATGCTGCCATTGTTGATATATTTTAGTTGTGCCTAGCATACGTTGTGCCTGGCATTCTTCAAGAATATGTCTAGCTTACATGGAGCATGTGCCCAATATATGTCTAACACGTGTCTAGAAAAGCACACACAATAATTCAGAGCAGCACATGCTTAATCGGTTGGGTGGTGTCATCATAATGGTGGAAACAAACATGTGTCTGTTATACTTAAAGCCTTTCAGCTTGTTTATTGCACAATTTGCTTAGCATTGCTCTAGCATGCATCCAACTTATTTCTCAACCATATGTTGATTGCTTCTAGATGTTAGAATGTGTCCAATATATGTCTAGCACTAATATTAGTTCCTCTAATCTGGTTGACGTGCGTTCTAGCACATGCTTGATGAGTTGGGTGTTTGCCACCACATCAATAAGCATGCGTCTATTGTACATCAAGATTGTCAGCTTATTCCTTGCATATACTTGGCATAGTTCCAGCATGTATTAT